TGAAGACGGACAGTGGACACATACTATGGACGAAAGCATTACGAAGGGATGTCAACGAATGTTGGAGGACCTTTGAATTAATAACGAAAAACTTGATTAAACGATATTGTCCTCACAAGAAACATGCGACCGGGAAATGACCGAAGTGGCTGACAATAGCTGCTGAGAAGGAGATCTGAGAAAAGCGCAGGCTGTGAAATATTTCCCTTCAAATGGACAGCTTGGAAAAACTTCGAGAATTTAGACAACAAGGTGAATTATGCAAAAGGCTCCTCCGTGAATTACGTGCTTCTTATGGACTGAAGCTCCTGAAAGAGGCAGAACAGGAACCTAAGTCATTCTATGCATACGTCATAGGCAATACAAAAACCGAGACCATCCCGCAACATCTAGGACACAAACAACTAAACTGCTAACGAGAGCTTTCAAAAAGCCGACCTTTTTTCAGAATTTTCCCGAATCGTCTATACAACGGACCCACCCCTCCAGTCCTGTTCTCTGCCACAGATCGTCAAACAACCACTTAAAAACGCAGTATTATTTTCACCGTAGCTATTTTTGGTAGAGGCAATCAAACTGGATCCGGTCAAGTCACCTAGACCAGATGATATTCCGGAAGCACTTCTACGTCACTTAGCTGAAGAATTAACAGAACCACTCTGTATAATCTTCCGAAAACCTCTCGAAGCTGGTAAACTTCCTGATACATGGAAGTTGGCAAGCTTCGTACCCGTTCACAAGAGGGATCACCCCTATGTCCCACCAACTGCCGGCCGGTAATTCTGACATGCATTTGTCGCACGCTGATGGAAACGATAATCATACAATCAATAACACCGCTCGATACATTACACTGTCACGTCAGTTCAGGTCAGCGTGAGGTTCTGCCTCACAAACCTGCTTACGTCTCTCGAGCATTAGTCAAGGGCCATGGGTAAAGGACATCGAGTAGACGTCATGTACGTTTACTTCAGCAAGTCAATTGATTGAGTTCCACATAGGCGCCTCGCTCTATGTTGTCTGGCGTTGTGATAAGAGGAATTCTCCTGAACTGGATTTAAGATTTCATCAACGGTCGCAAACAAAAGTTACTGTGAGTGGTCACTGCTCACAATTGGTGTCTGTTTAAAGTGGAGTCTTATAAGGGTCCGTTTTTGAGCCGCTCTTGTTCATCATCTATGCAAATGATCTAGTTCGGGAAGTGAAATCGGGCATAGCGCTCTTCGCAGATAATCTTAAACTGTGGAGTGTGGTAAAAGACAAGAAAGACGCCAAGATACTGCAGGAGGAGCTGGTGCATTTGTGCGCGTGGAGCGAAAAGTGGTGCATGAAAACCATCATCAGAAATGTGTGGCAATGCACATGGTATCAGCAAGGAAAATATTAAATATACCCTCCTAGACAATTAACCGCCTGGAACCGTAGATGTGCAAAAAGACCTTGACATATTTGCTAAGACGACTTAAGCGTCACCACACAGTGGTCCGAAGTCGCAGCGCGGGCAGTGTCAGTCATGAGCGCGATACGAAGAACATTGATGAAATTGAATTTATATGTCCTTTGCAAGGTATATGGGGAAGTTATGCGGTCGCACCTGGAATATGCGATAGGGCTTGGCAGCCGTGATTTCGGGAGGATATCGATATTCTTGAAGTGTACAGCAACGTGCTGCAAAGGTTGTTCATGAACTTAACAATTTTACGCATGAGCAACGCCTGACGGCCTTCAATCTCTATCCCCCCCATTGCAGGCAGGGTGGAGTCGACCTCATAACGACCTTTCGGTTACTAAGGGAACTTGATCAGGATGTCCATCGGGAAACTTATTTGAAATGGCACAAAATAGAGGGTGGTGGTATAGTCGTAAATCTAAGGACAGGAATTTCGGCAGTTTAACGAGCCCGCACACTCTCCCTGGAATATGAAGCTTCCTGGGTAAAGATAAAGAGGAGTAACGCACAAAAGCTTGAATTCCTGGCGGTTTACAGACCATCAGACGTTCCGAGTGCAGATGCTGAGTCGCTCCTTCACTTAGTCAAGGAATCAGCTAGTCACAAAGAGGTTCTTTTTACTGGGGATTTAAACGTACGTATAATAGAGTGGAAAATCTGTAGGTGACGGTGAGTCAACCTCCTTCAGCAAAAAGTCAATGGACCTCACACTCAACCTCCCTCTGGCGCAACATGTGAAGTCACCAAAACGGTTTAGAGAGAACCAGACAAAGAATTGCCTGGACCTATTTCTCACTAAAAACTGCCCTTATATTGATAAAATATATTCCAGTGCGCCTCTTGGCAAGAGTGACCACGCTACGCTACTATGGGATTACTCACCCTTCTCCCACCGCCAAGAGAGAACACAAAGTCAACCTAATATACGGTAGGCAGATTTTAACACGATGAGGAATGAACTAACGTCCGTGAATTGGGGCTGTCTGCTCAAGTGAAGTCCGGAGGACGACTGGAGGTCGTTCAAGACGATTTCATTCCAACTAATTTGGCGATGTGGTCTAATGAAGCCACAAAAAACGACCAGTTGACCTGCTTGGTCAACTAGGGATCTGAACATAAAGTTACGGAAGAACAACAAAGAATGGAAGATATACGGGGAAAGTGGGTCACCAATGCATTTAAAAGAGTTTCGTCGTCGACAAAATGCAGTCAAAAAATAGATCCGTCAGGTACAGAAGCAACATAAATCTAGAATTATCCGACAGGCTGAACAAAAGTCAGAGGTTTTATTTCACCATATTAACAGAAGACTGAAAAACAAGGACCCGGTCGCGGTACTGAAGGATGATAATTGTGTAGAGATAATTGAAAACAGCGAGAAAGCCGAACACTTAGCGTAGTACTTTGTCTCGGTTTTTATTAGGGAAACAGAGTTTCGTAATTGCGGTGCCAGCAGTGCTGTTGAGACCGCTGGGCCCGTGCTTGACTCCATACTCTTCTCGACATCTGTCATGGAAAGGGAGCTACAAAATCTCAAAGAAGCAAAGTCCTCTGGTCCGGTCACTATACCGGCTAAATTCTTGGAAGAATTGGCGAACGAACTCTTCAAACCACTAGCACACATCTTCCGTTCGTCATTCGAATTAGGGAGGGCGACAACCGACTGGAAGACAACATACATTTTTCGATATACAAGGGTGGGGCTCGCACTAATGCTCACACTTACCTGCCTGTTGGGCTGATCTGCATCTGCTGTAAAATAATGAAAGCTCTAGTTAAGAAAGCAACGATGAAATTTTTGGAGTAGGACCACTGTTTCCGCTGCAGGTCAGCTTCAGACAAAACCGCCCATGCCTTTCGAGTTTATCGCTATCGACTAAGCAGTGGATTCGCGCACTGGATGAGAACTGTAGGACCGATGTAATTGACACGGACTTCAAGAAGGCGCTCGACAGCATTTCACACAAACGCCTCGTCTACAAACTTTCTGAACTTGGGATAAGAGGAAGGCTGCTGGCATGGATCGCAGATCTTCTTACAGGGAGATAACAAACCGTGTACGTTGAGGCCGCGAGGTCAGATTCCACCCCCGTTCTAAGTGGTGTCCTCTAGGGCTCAGTCTTAGGACAAATGCGTGGTCCTGAGGCTCCGCACCAAGAAGACCAGTAAGGAAGATGATTCCTCTCAAGAAGTCCTTGACAGGCGATCCCTTTCAAATGTTGTGGAATGGAAAGACCTGAACTTCCTAATGTTCTCCCCACCGAAACCATCGTCGCAGTGTTAAAGGGCAGCCAAACGCGCGATACGGGTATTATTGGCACTGAGGCGAGGATTTGTGCAGATCGATAAACAGCTGTTCGGGAAACCTGGGGGCATTCGTTCGGTCTCACTTAGAGTATGCAATTCAGGCCTGGAGACCGTGGTCTAGGGAGGATTATCAACAAGTGGAAGGAGTACAGGCGATGGCTACGAATATGGTCAAGGATCTTGATCATCTGCCTTACGAAACCAGGCTAGCTGAACTAAATCTGCTTCCTGTCAATCACAGGCAAATGCTCGGCGATCTCATTCAAACCTACTTAATTGTCAGAGGCTGTGACTGCGCCCTAGTCTTTGACCAATTCTTCGAATTGGTCGGGACGGATTGTCCGCATGGTCATCCCTTTAAACTGCAGAGGAGACTGGCCCATACGCACGTCCGACGGAACGTCTTCTCGCAAAGGATCAGTGGAACGCGGCGCGGACTCCCTGATGCGGTAGTTCTTCCCGAAACTTTTGAATCCTTTAAGTGCAAAATAGATGCTCATTTGCTGGAAAGCCACTGCGCATATAATCGCGATTGTTTAAGGGCGGTAGTTGGCGGCTGGCTTACACGTACCGTTAACTTTTGGATTTACAGATTCACTGATGTAACAATTGATTATATTTCTGTTTGTCGATATGAATAGGGGGCCCAAGGAAGAAAGACATCTTCCCATAGTAAACCGACTTCAACTGACTATTGCAGACAACACGTTTACCAGTTTAAAAAGGCAATGTGCCACGCAAATTAACTTTCCTCCTCCTTTTCGTAGAGAGTCATTTGCCAATGGAATTGTTTTCCGAATTCTACTGTGAAGTCCCCCATCGTGAGTGTGTTAGAGAGACATCTGGACAATCCCCCGTTAAAAGGCAACCCAAACTGCCTAACCCGACCTTGTGGATTACTGAAGTGACCGTCAACATACTACTAACATGAGTTCAGCAGATTCTTTTATGCATGTTTGCCTTGACCCAGATTAAAATTTTCACAGGGCGAATGAAGTAAACGATGCTTTCGCCGTTATTTTGTAAATTTTACATATTTTTCAAATTTGTTTTCCACCATTACGTATATGTATTTTGCACACTAAAAGTACATGCAAACTTTTTGCAATCTAGCTACTTTCATTCACACCCGTGCCTTTTGTATGATGTTTTAAGGGCTTCTGTCATTTACCCCAATCATACTGACTGACTGACCAACTGAGGCCATGGGTGCTACAGGTACGATCATGAATTCCTTTGCCAAATGCGATTCCGCGTGCCGACGGGTGGACCGACCGTTGCCTCGTTACCTCCAAATGAGAGTTCGCCCCACAACCTCGCAGAGCAAGGTATGCTGAATATCGCTTTGTCGTATTTTTCCTGCTCACCGTTTGCATTTCATCAGTCAAGGGACCCGGTGGCTGGACGGTTAGCCTCAGTGGCTATCCAATACTGAGACAATTGTAACTACGCTGGAGCTGCCATCTCGTGTGGATAGACGGGGAGAGGCTACCCAAACGAGTCTTTAATGGGGAAGTCTACATATGTTTCTGCCGACAAGGAGGTCAACACAGACGCTACGAGGATACCTTGGAGACCTCCCTGAAGGGCCTGCAAGTCAATCCGACCAATTGGGAAGACCTCGTCCGTGACCGTTCGACCTGGATGAGAATAGTGAAGCCAAACCCAGACATCTCCAAAGCTAACAGCGTCAGCAACGCCAAAATCAAACGCGAAGCTCGCAAATCACAAACGCTCTCGACTCGCAACGCCAACAGCCAATTACAGGTTCACTTCGGAGTTGGCGTTGAGGGCGCTGTCATCGGCGAAGAGAAGTTTATAAGCAGAAATTGTGGATACACGCGGATGAAAGTGCATCCACCGCTGATCAAGGAGTAGGACGTCCGCCTTGTAGACGACGCAGACCCCTAGGCGTTCGTTACGGCAGGCGTCCATTAAAATGGCAGAAAATATGAAACTGAAGAGGGTAGGCGCAATACCACAGCCCTGACTCACTCCGTTGGTAATTGCAAATGCCTCTTAGGCGGTTCCGTCGTCCGTGATGCATGCCCTCATGGAAATGAGTCACCATCTGAGTGACTCGCTCGGGACAGCCGAATTTTTGCATGATTTTCCATAGTACTTCACAATTTACCTTGTCGACGGCTTTCGTCGGATCCACAAAGGCAGAGAACAATTAGGTCCGCATCTCCTGGAGCCGCGGGTTAAGAGAGTAGAGTAGAGATTAGCGAGAAGAAAAGAAGGCAGATGAGCGGAGCGGAGAACAGGTGGGAAGAAGAAGAAAGGGGCCGTCTTCCAGCAACGGCCCAGTAGCTTACTGAGTGCTTATGGCCTCCTGCGTGGTCACATACGGAGCCTCATCTTAAAGGTGCCGAGGCGACGATCTATTCAGTCAGCGATTGTTGTAGCGGAGCCGAGTAACCGTGTTTGGAGAGGCACACTCGGATACCTTCACTTGGTTTAGTCCGCCAGTGTGGGCAGTTGCTGGGGTGTGGCCGCTAGGCAGAACCGAGTTTTGTGGGGCCGGTTAATGGAAGCTAGGAGTAATCTACCCCTGCAAGCAAGTTAACAATCTATTGCGACCAACGCATGTACTCACAAATTGACACCCCTATACCCCAGACACACCTAGCATGTCTTATGCATCCTCCATGCCTAGCTGAAGCCATACGCCGTAGCCCAGCGCGCCTGGCACCACCAGCTCCTCTACTGCCACTATCAACGAAACCGACAGTGATACCGTCGACTTATGCTGTCCAAACTGTCCACATACATCTACTTCACACATTTGCTTGATCTGTTACCTGCAAATACGGTAAGGATACCGACCAACCAGTGCCTTGATCACCCGCATACAGTCACTGCATCCGCCTCAGCTGCTCCCGCTGCGCCCGCGCATTCACCCACCGTATGGGCCTATTAGGATGCATGCGCAGGTACGAAAACCTGTTGTAGGTAACCGCCAGCCACATCACACTATCACGTCCTCCCCCACCAGAACCCGCACCGCAAATCAAAGTCATCCATCGCAGTCACTTAATGCCACCCGAACGCAAGTTAGATTTGTGCTTCTTGGCCCCTTCTTCATGCGGTTCCTCCGCTGCGAGTGGTATCCGAGTCCGAGACTATCACGTTGCCTCAAGTACCGTGACTTAGAAGGCTACCAATCGACATCCCAACCCTTTCCATGCAGTCTGTCCAATTGCGTACGTTTGCGTGGAATGGCGGACTGGTGGGCTGAGAGTCAGGCTGAAGCGGCTTCATCTTAACGTGACCTCTGACGCTCTCACCCATACAAGCTTTATGTAGCCTACCCCTTTTCTGTGACATCGTGGTGCTAGTGTCTGGAGGCCAGGACGTACATGTGGCACGGACAGACAAGGCTACTAGCTACATCAGTTACTGAACTCATTGCCCTCACATGTCACATGACTGGTTCGAACAATTGCAGGAGCCTGGGAATTGGAAGGGATAGTAAAGTCGACGATTCAGCGCATTAACCTTACAATAAACAACCTGGCGCGCTTTGCGCTATCACGGTGCGCTAAAAGCCGTGGCTGGGAAGGTTGCCAACTTACTGGATAACTCAGGCGTCGCAGTCAACCCGGTGTGTGTTTGCGTGGAGCGACCGGCCGGTGATCTAAGTATGCACGTATGTATGTATGTATTTGAAGGGTTAGATGCAGATCCCTTGACGAGCCTAGTTATGTATAATGCTTTCACAGATCTGCATTCAAAATAATATTGCAGACATTTACAATGTGATCGGATCACAGTGCGATCATAATGATAAGGAAGCGTATCTGTTCACTGTAAGTCAGTACGGAAAGCTTGTGTATGACCAAATGTTTTACAAAGCTGGCTGTGAGTATTTATTTTGAAAAGCCGGCTACTGCCAAAAATCAAGCGAGCAAATTTTCTCTTAGACATGCAAATTTTATCGACCACCACTATCTCACGTGGTAGCAAGCTTCATGGTCGGACAACTCACTGGCTGAATGAAAACTTCCTACGGTATAGCCGCTTGCGTTCACTCCTGACTTTGTAGGCATGACCGCCTAACTGGTTTGTATGTGCAAACTCAAAGAAGCCCTCCGTTCTTAATGAGCAACCTTGTACACGGGCGATCCGGAATGTCCAGAGTAAACGCCAGTTTAGCTGCCTTAAAGAGAGAAAGGGAATAATTCAAACACATTCAGCCTCTTCCGAAAAAACAAATGCTTTAGACGGTTGACCATCCTTGTTGCTCTGCGTTGCGCATGTTTGAGTAAGTCAGTATCCTTCTTTGTGCATGATGAGACTGCTGGAATTCCATACTCCAGATGGGGTCTAAAAAAGACGCCAAAAGTCTTTCGAAGTGTTCAGGAGCGAGTACTTTAAATGCAAGTCTGATCAAGTGCAAAGTACTATTCTCCTTCTGGAACATCTTCCTTCAGTTTTCTGGTGGCATTAGATTTGTGGTCGTCCATGTACCCAGATATCTGTGCCTTTCTGCAAATTCCAACGCGGTCCTGTAGCAGCCGCTCCAGTCCCCCTTTTCTCCGGCTCCGTTTTTTCGGTCGATGACCGCGATAAGCACTGACAGGCCGCTGGCGCACGACCACACCCGCCGGCTAGAACTGGGACACCTCCGGTCCAGCTGCAGTGAACCCCGGCTGCACTCAAAAACTAGTATCGCCTAACGCGCGTCGAAAGCTTTGGCTTGATTCCCGTGAGGCCTTGTGATTATGCGCCCTCCATTCGTCCCCTAATTAGTCCAATCACACGACCACCACGCAGACAGTAACCCCCTCCTGCTGACTTAGACACACACACTCGCGTTAACAAGACACACCCTGACTGACGCTCTCCGTGAACGGACGCTTTTCTCTGTTGCAAGCAAGTCGCCAACTTACGGCAACCTGCCCTGTGTACAGAATAAACTAGTCCTCACAGCTCCCTGACTTCTGACAGTAGACGAAACGAACTTATTGTGCGTGGTTTAAGTCGATCTCACATCCTTGACCGCCACAAATTGGTGTAATGATGCTCGGGAGGGGCTTTTCGGCCGATGCTTAGGCGCAAGACCACGCATTTTGACACGTTAGACTTCAAAAGCCACCTGATCGACCAAATACTCAGTTAGTCGATTTTCGATTGCAGTTTCTTTGCGTCGTCATCGCATTTGACTTCACATCATATTTTTGTGTCGTCTGAAAACATAAGGGCTTCACAATCCAGTTCTCTGATGCAGTCATTAACATTAATCAAGAAGAGTACTTGGCCTAAATCAGAACCCTGCGAGACACCACTTTCCACCTTTGCCCATTCCGAAGTAAAATTACCAATGGCCACTTTTCGCACTCTGAAGGACAGAAAACTCCTGATCTATTAAAAACTTCTTCCTTGACTTCTTACATCTCATATCTACTGTAAAAGAAGCCTGTGTGGGATACTATCAAAGGCCTTTTCTCAAGATAAAATAGGACATCCACCGGATACCCTTGTCGGTATTCCTTGTCGATTTCCCGTGCACGTAAAGAATACTCATTAGGCAGGAGCATCCTGGGCGGAAACCATGTTGGACATTGCACAATATTTTGTTTTCTCCAAGTGTGGCAGCAAATGTCTCTTGTTAATTCCTTCCATTATTTTACATGCGATGCAAATAGGACTGACGGGACGATATTTCTCACAGTCAAGTCGTGAACCTCCTTTATGAATCCGAGTGATGAGTGTGTACTTCCGTTTCTCCAGGAGCTCGCATTCGTCAAATGGCCTTTGAAATATTGCAGACAATGGCTCGCACAGTGCATTAACACGTTCACGATGTGCAATTATGATAAGTACATCTGGGGTAGGCGCTTTCCAGGTTTCAGTCGGAGTAGTTCGGCCCTAACTATGGTCGGTGAAAAGAGGGTAGGGATGGGTGAGAGGGGGAAGGGGATTAGGAGAAGACGATGGTTGACGAACGGATAGATGAGCAAATCTGGAACTAGGTTCTCGTGTGAAGAGGGACGTTTTGACATGGTAATCGGTCTCTTCTTTTCTATCTGCAGACCTAACGGCAGCGATCAGCCCGTAAGTGCTTTCCGTACTATGTATATGGCCATATAAAATGTTCAAAGGCTCCAACGAATTTTACATAATGTTTAGTTCGAACTTTCTTCGCAGTCCGTAACCCTCACTTTTACAAACGTTGCGCTGCTGCTGATATTGCCGGAAGCGTTCTTTGAAGCCTGTTAGTTTGTAACGCCTCCACAGCCGATTCATTTTTTCGAAAGACGTCTTTTAGTCCGGGTTTATCCACCTTGGGTCCCTTAGTAAGGAACTGCAATGATCCCTTCTTAATGCGGCCTTTGTGGAACCCCCATTCCGTGGGATCCGGCGGGATGTGGCGGTGTGTGTAAGTGCGGCTCCGACCGTGCCAGCCACTCGCGCCATTCACCGGATGAGGTAATCTTGACTAGTTCAGGACGTCAGGCCCAGGTGGGGAAGAGGTAATTTGGTAGATGCTGCGAAAGTCTACCGTCACTATGAGTTAATTCATTCGCAATTCACGGCTCCTGATTCGCCTTGCAGTTTAGCACACACTGGACATCGTTGGGCACGGCAGTCGGACTGAAGAAGAGGTCAGACTTTTCAATCTCATCTTCTTCCTTGAAAACAGGCAAGGAAAACTGGCGTAGGTGCTCTGGCTTACGGGTATTTTCGATAATGTCTCAGCCGATTTTTCCTTTGGACGTTGCAAACGTCCATCAGGGCTTTGACCTACTGCTAATATAGAAGAAGAATCATTTCGGCCGGCCTACGCTCCGTTCCTAGTTCAAGTTTCATATTTTTTTCGAGATTTACGATCATTTGATTATATTCCCTTCTGCTTCGGCAAACTCCTTTCAATACGATTGCATTGTTACTACGAACCCGACCTAATGTTCGTTCTTCCCGTTCATATGCCCCCTCATATCTCACGTTAGAGAGGCAAGCCAACTTGCCTTTTGGACATCTTTACTCGAACAGTTACCATGAGTATCGGCGCCAATGAACACCCGAAAGTCAAGTATATTTGTTTGTGGTGCTTATTTTACGGCGGACCATAGACATACTGCCCGCGAACGCGTATACTATGCTTTACACCAAAACACGGCCGTTTATTTAAAAACCAGTATTGACAAACTAAATGCGGCCTCCACATATTGAAAAGAATGTGAATCTTCACATGTGAATTAACAGGATTATTGCGGTATCTAAATTTGTCCTCCTAGTGCAGAGATGCATTTGTGCAAAAAATTTCCCCACTGAAATTGATACACCCTCCCAAAAAATGTCCGAGGACATATGATATTAGTCTCTGCATGATTTACTTCGCTTGGGAAGGACATGGCCGGCATGACATATTTAATGATAAGGTGCGACGCACACCATCCGAAAATTATTAACCACCCATGCATCAGTTATCTTGTCTCATGAATTTGATTATCTTGGACATAAAATGGTCTTTAGGCAAGTTTGTGCAGTTCTGTCACTCACACAGGCAATTTGTTAATCAACGGCTTTGACGGTAACTAGGGAAACTGAAAGAATGTTTGGAAAATGTTAAACCAAAAAAACTAATGGGCTACCTTCTGCTAGCTTTATTTCCTTTGAGTATAAGTAAGCACACTCACGTTCTAGTTAAACTAACCGGATAATCTTACGATAATAAAAATCAGCGAGCGTCCTATGTGATAAACTTATAACTTTTTGCTTCAAATACATTAATGAAATGCGCCAAGTTGGTCACTAAACTTGCAAAACAATGCGAGCCTTAAGCAGAAGTGACTGGGACCCCTAGAAATTCGGTAAAACTTTTCTGCCGCAAACAATTGTCTCATAGGTGTCCGAGGCGAAGGACTGTAGGGTTTAACCATCCTTAGGACGAGGTGGCTAATTTCACTGACCAAATCCGCAAGAGAAATGTCCGAATGATAATAATAATGCCACTAGTATAAGTATAGAGGCACAGCTAATTTTCGTTGCATTCAGTCCCAAGACTTTTTCATTCCAACAAAATTTAATTTTCAGAGGTCTGCTGGACAGAAATGACTAATATATATATATATATATATATATATGTTTGCAGGAGTGCATTTATATTTATTTTTCTACTGAACCCCTGTAAATTTGAGTTCATCAACGTCCTAGATACCGAGCGCGTTCTTCAAATTTATTGTTTGTATACACCATCAAATTCAGAGTATCCGTTGAAAATGAGCCCAACGATACGGCAGATTAAAATAACCCACCGGAGAACTTCAAGGTCAAAGTGGTGAATTAAAATAAACTTAATCCTGTTCTACAGATCTTGACATATAATCCTTGGTACGCACTTATGGCGACATTTGTGATTGCAAATAATCGTGTTTGGCTTCCGGTTAACGTCCTTACTCAAGGAACGAAGTGGGAATATGATGCAGAGTATATGCTGGAGAGGTTGACCATTTGCACGTTTGCCAGTAACATGCGACCAAGGCCAGCAAGTCATATAATAACTGTTTTATTGAAGACTTGTGTGGATATTACTGAAATTAGTAGATGTGCAAAAATAGTCATGCCACTAACTGGATAAATAGGATGTCCTCCGTACTCTTCACATGGGCATAAAATAGCAGGCAAATTTTGACAAATTCTGATAAATTCACTTATATTTAGTGGTTTAAATGTCGACGTGCTCCCCTAACTGCGCATTATGTAAACGAAATGCAAAGTGCATACAAAAATACTAAAAACCTTCAAAAATCGCATAACCTTCGAAAAATTTCAAGGATGAGTCTCAGGTCGAAGCGTTTTGTACCACGTGATTATTGCTCATTAGAAACAAAAGTTGTCGTGATTCGTTTTGAATTTGTTCATTTATTACAACAAGAGAATTTCTAACGAAGGCTGTTCGATTAATGAGTCGTCTAGATGACTTGGGAAACAGTTTAAGGAGTTTCTAATAAGATTAGCAAACGGAGCTTAACAATATGCAATACCGATATTTGTGGCGGTGCATCGTCTACGTGGTGAGCTGTACATCGATGATAAGCTCTTGGAGAAACTGTTTCTAGTAGGTCTGCCAACCGATATTAAAGTCATTCTAGCATTCGGTTCAGAATGTTCCTCGGTCCCACGGCAAGCCGAGATGGACGACAGGATTTTGGAGATGCAGCGACTCCAGCCGTCATCCGTTGCCTAGTTCTACATTTGCGCGTCACCAAAGACAAATGAGGAGACCTTGACGCAGACGACATCCGTGGGAAAAGAGATGGCAGTCCCCAAATTCCAGCTCGTTTGCCTTAGTTCTCGCCAACCACTCAGCGCTCGCCATTCCCGTCCACAACCTCGAACTGCCGGCGTCTGTTTGTACTATACGAACATTGATGCCGATGTGCTCCCATGTTCCACTCCCTAATAGTTCAAGTTCAAAAAAGAAACTAGATAGCCAGAGAATAGGGGTAACGGCCTCCTCTGGCTTCTTCGGCTTTGGTCGCACTCACTGTGTCTGTGAAAGGTGATTCGCAGACGTTTCCTTGTAGACGCCGGTGATCAAATCAGTGTTGTCCCTCCAACTCTGGCTGACCGTAGCGCCTCAGCGCCGATATTTACTTTCAAGCTGTCAACTGCTCCCAATTCCCACATTCGGTTGCCTGTTCCTCACACTGAAGTTTGTAATTCCTCAGTTGTTCTACTGGAGGTTTGTTTTGCTGAGGTCCATCATGCAATCCTTTGCTCGGAGTGTCTACTGAGTTTAATCCCCTTATAAACCGTCGGCGTTCTCGACTCCTCGACTGCAAAACTGATCTCTCTGTTCATGGATTGGGTCATTTTAGTATCTCGAGTAATTTATCAGTTGTGGATACAGGTATTACTTACCTCTATCAAGAGCTTCCCCTTCAACTTCCGAAAATTGCAAACCAGCAGTTTCATGACGTCGAGATCCAGCATGGCTTTCTGTACCGTATCCGCATCTTAGTGTCGCCTGTTTCCGCTCTGCCTAGACAATTAACGTCGGCCCGTCTGGAAGCTGCAAAGGCCGAGTTTGAGCAAGTGATGCGGCTGGACGTTATCCGACCGTCCGAATGTCCCTGGGCGCCCCGTCTGCGCATGAGGCCTAAGGTTACATCAGACGACTGGCTGTCCTGTGGTGACTACCGTGTTATCAACGATGCCGTCATTTCAGATCGGTCTCCAGTGTCTCATGATCAAAATTTGCTCGAAGCCCATTTGGTGAAGTAGATTTCTCGACGAGCCTTTTATTTAATTCCTGTCGCTCCTGAGGATGTCCGAAAAACCGCCGTCACAATCCCATTCGGCCCTTTTGGATTCACTCGCATGCTTTTGCAGTGCCGTCCAGGCACTCCAGAGGTTAGTTGCCTATGCCTTACTTGGCCTACCGTTTGTCAATACGTACACTGATGACGTTTTGGTGGCTGATTAGAGTTCTGAAGAACAGAAGGGGCACCTAGCCCTGGTGTTTGACAACCTCGACAAGTATTGCATCATCATAGACCTTTCCAAGTACATCTTTGGAGCGTCTACCTTTAAATTTCATTGCCATCATGTAGACTTCGAGGGCTTGCGGCCTTTATCATACAAAATTAAAGTCATCCGTTATTTTTCTACATCAAGACCCAAGCGTCAATTGCAACGTTTTCTAGGCATGGTTAATTTTGCCTGCTGGTTCCTGCTGAATTGTGTTGACGTTAAGATGTCACACACTAAATTTTTTTCTCGTTCCATGGGCCCCTCGAGTTTACTGCTGAAGCACCGACTACTTTTGAGAGAATCAGGGCCTCCCATGCGGACGAAACCTTGATCACTCATCCCGCTCCCGAAGCTCCTTTGTCAGTGATGGTAGATGCTTCAACCATAGCCGTAGGTGTAGGCTTTCAAAAACACCTCTTTGGTTTGACTCGACCACTCGCCTTATTCTCCGGAATGTTCATGCCGGCTGAGACAGGCCAGAGTGCCTTTGACTGTGAGCTAATTACCACCTATGTTCCTGGCTATGGAGCTTTTCGAACATTTCCCTGAGGTCCTCTGACAGTTAACCTTCGTCTTAACTCTGACAAGTACAACCCAAAAGCGATAGTCCACCTAGACTACTTTTCTTAGGCCAACAGAAACATCTTCAACATAGGTGGCGTGAAGAATGAGATGACATGCGGTACAGACTTTCATCCTCTTTCCTTTAGTCCTCGCACGTGACTGACCCGCGTGCCATGGTGGTTAGGCAAGAACGAGTCGGTTGTTTTGGAAACGGCTCCGTTAGTGGTCCTCAATTCACAGACGTTCCCCTGCCGCCGGTACTTATACCATCCTCTATGACATCCCGACTCCCATATATCGCTCCCTAGTGTCTGCCTCGATGCGCCGCGCTGTTTCAGACTCTTTATATACTCTTCACCTCGAGATTCGAGCTTTAAAAAGCCCCTAACAAGAGAATTTGTCTGGCCGGGCATGAAAAGGGACGTGCAGAAGTACCTGAGTTGCCAACGAAAGAAGGAGCGGCGCCACAACAGGTCCCCATCTGGCAATTTTCCAAGTACCGACGTACGGTTGAGTCATGTGCATTTCGATGTCGAAGGCCCCTTACCGCCATCCAGTGGCTATACTCATCTTCCTACCTGTGCTGGTCGGTACATCCGCTGGGCTGATGTTATTCCTTTGTCGAATGGGCAGACTTAAACCACTATGAAAGCTTTCGTCAGTCACTGGGTCGTCATGTTCGGTGCTCCATCCACGCTTACGACTGGTCGTGGTGCCCAGTTGGAGCCCGCACTCTTCCAAACGCTCCTAAATTTTCTGGGAAACTAGTCAGACAGCCTTTCTCTTGCACTCCGTGACACTAAGGCAGCTCTGAATTCGGATTTGGGCCGTAGTGCGACTGAATTGTCTTTTGGCACTACCCTCCCACTGCCGGGCAAGAGAATCATCCCAACCTCACTTGGTCCCGACGAGACCCCTGACAATTTTGAGCGCCGTCTGAGGCAATTTATTTGTTCGCTTTCCCACAGTTCCACCTTGAACTCCAACGTCCGAGTCTTATATCAAAAGAGGCTTCGACAACTGCACACATCTGTTCATTCGGTGCGACCGTGCGCGCCAGTCGCTGGAATTGCCATACGAAGGACTGTTGCATGTGTTCGCACGCACTACCAAGACCTGACGGATCCTTCGCGGCAACAAGGAAGATGTGGTCAGTATCGCTAAGGTCAAGGCTGCTGTTGCGAAGGAGCCACCGGATCTGTCTCAAGGACAAAACTGTGGTGCCCCCTACCCTGTGATCCTCCACCTTCCCAATCTTCTCCTGCCCCATTTCCCCCAGCCGTCCTGGACGCTAACTCTTTCGATGCAACTGGCATCCGCACCACTCGTAGCGGCCGTAGCGTTCACTTTCCGGACCGCCTCATCACTCAGGAGTATTGACATTGAATTAACCTCTGATGCCGTTTTAACGTCCACCTACCGTCTAGGCCGGGGCACTGTGGCAGCCCTTCGTCCAATTTTTCTTATACACCACTTTTTGTAGTTATTCTAGTTGTTAGGAGTTTCCTTAATTCGCATTTGTTCACTTTCGTTTAGGTTGGTGTGTACGTAACAGTTACGCGGACACACCAAGTGGTGCGATTTTCGGTTTCACGAAGTGACTTTTCATTCACTGCGTTTGTTGTTCAATGAGCGGTGTTGACAGTCAAGTCCGTTCTGGCGTAGTCGTTTCGGTTGACGTTTCTCGACATGGTCTTGGTGTGAGATCGCGTTACCGATTGACTAAGCCCGCTAAAGACTTTTGAATTTCGAAAAAGGTTCCCCTGAGATTTAAGAGTTAGCTGCCTCTCAAGGTTGAACAAAAGTAAAAGAAAATAACAGTCTGAAGATTGGCAATCGGCTGTAAATCTTCATAAACTTTGACTTTAGCAAACCAGTGTGATACTTCTCATGCATTAAATGGTTAGATGAAGGCCTACTTAGGCCATGTTTTACAAGGGTAGTTTATTTTCTGTTCAGAAATTCTGGCGAGCACGCAGTGGACAACGCTTTCTTTACAAAACGGATGAGACGGTTATCATAAGCAGAAGATAAAATCGTGGTATACATCGACCGCATTACTGGAAACGTGTGATGTACGACTCTGTTCAAAAGAAGGGAATCTTCCAACGATTCCATGGCCTAACGACAGTACGGTAGGTGGACTATCTCAGGAAATGTCAACCGAAATTCCGAAATGCGTCTTGGTTTCGAAAAGATTAACTAAGTAGGGCAGTAAAACTAATCATTGTGCAGCATAGTTCTATAATAATTCAGTTACCTTTGGATGTCCGCTTTTGAAGGAACTTCTTTTCGGCTGGATGTGACAACCACTCTGTAAAAAATTGCTACTTACGCATCATGCATTTTTCTCATTGATTTTCGATGCTCTTTAAAATTCAATTATATTTCATAGAAAACATGCACAAAACATTCATTCCTTTTGAAGAAGAAGAAGAAGACACGATCGCCGGGACAAGAGCTTTTGTTATGAGCCGGTAGGAAGGTAGGACAGGAAGAGAGCCGGTTCGGAGGACAAGCACTTTATTGGAACTTGCGGACAGGAGGGGGTTCCTATGGTAAGAAAGGTGTGCTATTTATATTGGCTCCCGTGCGTTCTGAAACATTCCGTCCAATGACGTGCCAATCGTAGAGGGCGTTCTAGAATGTTCCTGCTCCGAGCGTGCTGGCCGCTGATTGGCCACCGCGTGCGCGATAGCCCCGCCGCGGAAACGTCTGGAATGTTCGGTCATCCATTGATTGGGTCGCACACGTGAGCAAAAGCCACCACGCGTGCTCGGCGCTGCAGTGCGCGCCGGTCGGTCGTCTAACTTCGCGCGTGACTCACGTCGCCGACTTGGTCCTTTGTTTGGCGCCTTAGGCCGTGGCTCTACGCCGCTTTCACTCTCCATAACAGCTTTATTAGCCTGACGTTTCGGATTCCTGATCGAATCCATCATCAGAGACATAAGCAGATAAGGGTGGTTTATGCACATGCGGCTGCAGTATTTATAGGATGCAGTAGCCATGCTACCGCATACCTATGAATATTCGCGGCTCCCTCCCCTTCATCAGGGATCGTTGCACGTGGCGTGATGGCCGATATTCGCGTCGTTAATTGCTGCAATTTCATCACGTGCGTTGGATGTTGGCGTGATGATTGCTCGACCATCTGACGTGCTGACTCGGGTGTTGGGAAGAGTGTTCACCAGTGCGCTCCCCGCGTGGCCAATTACTCCGCCTAGACGAAGTCTCAGCACGCTGTATTGAATGGGAAGATCATTGCACTTGTTAATAGACTGGGGGCCAGTAAACCATGACTCAAGCAGCTCCCGGCTCACGCGGTTGTCACCTCTTGCGAGAATTTCGGCCTCGGCAAATTTGAATGTGTGGCAGGAACCCGTCGAATGAGCCGCAACTTGAGAGCTGGCGTCATTTCTTCGCACTGCTGCAGCGTGTTCGGCCATTCGCGTTCGGAGCTGTCTTCCGGTTTCTCCGACGTAGATTCGTTGTCCGCAACTGCACCAGATCCGATAAACGACTCCAGGCGTTTCTTGCCGTGGCAGTCGGTCTTTTGGTTTCATCAACTGACGCCTGATGGTTGCCTCCGGCCTGTGTGCAACTCCAACCCCAAGTGGTGCGAGAAGGCGGCCAACAGCTTCCGAAACGTTCTTGACATATGGAAGCGCTCGCCAAACTTTGGTGTCCGTACGGTTAGGCCTTTCGTCCATTTTGCGTATGCACCGGTTGACAAAGTTGCGCGGGTAGCCATTGGCTTTGAAGACCCGTCGGAGGTATTGTAGTTCAGCAATCTTGTCTTCCGGCTCACTGCAGTGCGTTTCGACACGCCGATAGAGCGTCCTTACACAACTGCGTTTGTGACTGATTGGATGGTTGCTGTTGAAGTTCAGTACTTGCATCGTATTTGTCGCTTTCCTGAACACTTTGGTCTTTAATCCACCACAATCTTTGCGGCATACGAGGACATCCAGGAAGGCCAGCTGGTTGTTCTCTTCCTCCTCCATCGTAAATTGTATGTCCGGGAAGACCGCATTCAGAAGTTCCTTGAATGTCAGCAGTTGATCCCGATCGATAACGACGAAGGTATCATCCTCATTACGGGTCCAGAACTCCGGTTTGTGATGTTGGAAGACCAGCGACTCTAACCGTTGCAGGACCGCCTCGGCGATGAACCCCGAAATCGGCGAACCCATTGGTGTGCCCTTCACCTGTTCGTAGATTGTCCCGTCAAACGTGAAGTTCGTTCTGAGACAGAACTTCAAAAGCTGAAGGACTTGCGCGCGTCCAAGACGATTCTCCGTTTCATCGTATTTGCTTTGTAGAAGCAGCTCGATTGTCTCGATCGCCAGGTCCTGGGGAATAGAATTAAAAAGGGATGCAACATCAAAAGATACCATGACCTCATTTGGATGGAGGCTTACCCATTTGAGTTTCTCCAGGAATTCTGTTGACGAAGAGACCGTGGTGTCTGACTCAGTGGTCAGGAACTTGGGACGCCGGAACAGCCACTTAGCCAGTCCGTACGCTGGAGTACCTTTGAGCGACACGATGGGTCGAAGAGGAGCGACGTCTTTGTGCACCTTAGGGAGGCCATTCCTTTATTCATTCTGTAGAACATTAGGTCTTCTTCCAATTTTAAACTCGAGGGTAGGGTATAATTGGGCTTTTGAAATTTTTTTCGATCCCCGAATAATTTTGAACGCCAACCTGCCATTACACTTGCATTCAGGGTTTCCAGACTACAAGCCGTATATTTTCCGCGTACGGAGAACCATACACTTCTGTAGGGTATTCAGAGGAGACTAGATGGGTTTATAGAATTTAGCAGTGGATTTGAGCCATATTGTTAACTTCAAAACCATATTGGTAAATGTAGAGACATGACGTTTCAGGAACGGCCATTTCATGATATTAAAAATTCTCACAATTAGAAACTTTTTTAAAAACCGAATTTTGCCCTTCCATAGAGAAAATAATCTAAAGAAGACCTCATTTTCTACCGAAAGAGTGGAAGAATGAATATTTGTATGCATGTTTTCCATGAAAGATAATTACATTTTTTAAGGGCATCGAAAATTGATGAGAAAAATGCATGCTACGTAAGTAGTCATTTTTTACAGAGTGTGATTTTCACATGCAGCCGAAAAGAAGTTCCTTCAAAAGCGGACATCCCGAGGTAACTGAATTATTATAGAAATATGCTGCACGATGATTAGTTTTACAACCCTACTTAGTTAATCTTTTCGAAACGAAGAAACATTTCGGTTAATATTTCATGAGTTAGCCCACCTATTGTAATAATGTTCCATCTGATAACCAAATAAATCTAACCTCAAATCGTAATCCTTTCGCACGACCGGTGAACCTACATTAAAGTTTGCCGGTTGGAACCAGACTACTGTCATTGTTATATGGCCCATGACATTGGAACTACAGCCAATCAACTGGAAGACAAATATCATTTTCCGTCAGCTGACGGATTAACATGACATTGAAGGGGCTTACCAGAATGGGACGCAATACCATTGAGGTTTTATTAGATGAAATTCATCTTTCAGGAAATTGGTAATTGTTTATTCCGCACACTGCCGACACTTACCAGTAAAACGATCCAAAATTCCGCTTTACAGTTTTTCATTCTATATACCTAATCCATTTCCGCTGTTTTCGTTTCCAGCATCATAAATATTCTCGAAAAATATCAGCTTTGCGCTGACAGACCGTTCTTTTATGCCGTTAGTTCCGTCTTGGAGCACACATCCCAGTCACAAAAGCAACTGATTAAACCTGTAAATACGTATTGGAAAATCAGTAGAAAATATGAATACCGACGAGCGCACTAGGGAAGCTATTACTTAGGTGCACACTAAGTACGCAACTATTTTTTGACAACCAGCTACAAGGACTAATAGACGGCGTTACTGTGGGCTCAGCTCTTACTCGCCTATCAACCAAGGTCCCCATGGCCGAGTGAAAGAAATCTCAACTAAATGACCTGATCAATAGGCCAAGACATTATGGTCGCTACGTCGATGACAACTTCGCAGTCGTCACTACAAAAACCGATATAGTTGCCCTCTTAGATGCTGTAAATCAAACACATCCGTCAATCTACTTTACGGTGGAGACGAAGACGCCAAGTTTGCACCCTTTTCAGATGTCCGTCTAGGCGGAAGAGCTGAGGGTACGGACTGATTGCACAAACTTCAGCAACGTCGTCCGTCTTCAAGAGAAACACAAACTAAGCCGTTTTTGGTGCGAATGGCTGGAAACATCTGTTCGGCAAACACAATCGGCGAGAAACTTAGAAAAACCTGAAATCGGCTTCGGGAAAGCGGGTATCCCGACATTGTTGTTGAGGAGGACATTATACAAAGACCACCAAAGCCCATCACAATCATGCGAAAGAGAAAACTCTGTACCTCAGATTACTTTCTCAAGGGAATGTGGCGAGAAAATTCCTGAGAAGAGGCCTTGGCAACGCTGTTTGTAAACCTTCCCAGGAACAAGAGTTCAAGCATTATTCTCAATCAACTTCGGTTTACACGGAGAAGGTTAGGATAGGTTGCCAACTCATACCACCTTAATGTGCATTTACTCCTTTACTAGCTCCTGTGAGACAGGTTATATTGGTCGCACGAGTAGGCGCCTACCCAAAAGAATACGGGAACGCTTCCAGGCACTACTGAAAGAAGGCAAGATTAAAAAGCCCACGCAGTGCCATTTTGATTACGGGCATCGTGTGTACCCCCATCGCAGCCTTCCGGTGATTTACAAGGTCCCACCAAACTACCATAGACCACTGGGACAGTGTCTGCTAGCAACAACAGAGGCGATTGCCATCAGGTTACGAAAGTCGGTCCTGTGAGTACAACATAATCTGGTACAAGCTCCACGCCTGCCATGACCGAAGGGTGGTTAAATACATGCACCCCTGAGCACCTTTCTCATATCCCCAACCCTACTGCATCCTAACCCCCGTCTGTTTTCCCTCCCCTCCTGCTCTGAAACCCCACTTATATGAAAAGACGAACTGTGATCGATTTCTCTTATCTCTCACATGTTTTACCTTGACCACGTTCCCATATGAACCTACTGACCGAATGATCATTGATCTAAAGCGCATGTATGCTCGCCAAGTGCTTTTCTGAGTCCTGTCATGGGAATTTTCTTAATGCTGTTTTTAATGCTTACACACTTTGTGAATGCATATTTCACTGGCGCCTGGAGTTTTAATTCGTGATTACGTTCCACATGGCCCTGCTCTAACACCCTAGCATTTGTCCTTTACACAAACATGATTCTGGGTTAACAGAGTACGACCTCGTTTTATCTTTGCAATTGGGCTGTGACTGGAATGTTTTTTTTTATATGAGCGGGAATTCTGTGTCTTTCTTAGTGATCCGAGAGTTGTCTTAACATTTGGTTTATGCACGGCCAACAGAGATGCGTTAGTTCCATATGCTGTCTCCGCTGGTGAATTGGAAATTAATACTCTAACAAACCTAGCGCATGCCGGCTACTGCAGAGGCATGCAGTGAGTTTCTTCTTAGCTTGCCGACGATTCCACATTTTTACGGAAGAAAATTTCTAAATGTTCTCTGCTTCTTTTGTTTGGTTTGACTTTCAATACTACTAAAAAACTTGACCAGTACATACTCACAAAGTGTCTTGGTGAGTCGTTGAACACTGGCTCTTCCTATTTCTCCAGAAATGCCTCCACTTTTTTCCAGGCTAAACTTTCAAGGTATTTCACAGGATTCGCACCGTTGATCCCCCTTTCTTTTCCACCCCAGCCAAGTTAACAACCTCCGAAAAAACATCCTTTAAAATTTTGCGAATCCATAGGGAAGGTATCAGCTTGTCTGATATGTTTTATTCCGCACACGATTACTCTGCAGAATACGCTACCAGGGCCTATACATAACACATTATATATTATACATCATGTATATCCAGTGCGTCAAAAAGAAGTTGTCTTGAACTGGGTGTTGGCAATGGATATCACCATGTAGGCGTTTATTGTAAAAACCAAAAGCAAAAGTCGAAAACCGAGAGAACGAAAATCTCTTCCGTTCGACTACTTCTTTTGTTTTCTGTTTAGTTCGTTCATGCTTAGGATTTTTGTAAGTTTGTTGCAATAACTGAATCAATCCCTTTTCCGTAGTGCTTTTACTTGCATTTTTCGTAACCTAAACGTCTCGCTGGCAGATCATTAATGACATTCACTTTTTCTGGCAGTTCCATGTTTTTGCACCCTTCGATAATGTTTTACTGACTAAGCCGTTATGATCCGTCTGAGTTTCGATCGGTCAAGATTATATGTCGGTGCAGGCTCCAAATCATTCACCATTTAAATAAAGATCAAATAAAGTAGGGATATAGCCTTAGAAAAGTTCCATATTGCGCACCTTGCTTTTGGTTTACAAACTTGACGATATGTGTAGCGAGTAGGAAGATTAAGGACTGCAGAACAGCCAGTCTGCACCCGAAAATCGCTAAGCATTTCCCCCTTCGAAACACTCTTTGTCAGTCGACAGCAAACGAGCGATCTGAAGTCTAGCGCTCCACGTGTCTGAAAAAACCTCAATCCTCGCAGTAGGTGAGTAAAAACACGTGGAATATCTTTCGTAGGCCTATTTGTCTCGTCACTGAATGCTTTAGTCCGCATTGAGTTCTTGAGTAATAAGAACAGTGCCAAGACTGTCTTCTGTCACCTCATGAAGATTGTGACACTGTAAACGCTTGCCGATCACAGATCAATGTCTTCAATAGGAGTATATGGCCACAGTTGGGTAGACTACAAGGCCCCTTGATCATGAAAAAATCTCCATGTTTGTTTATACTAAACAGTTTCCATATCGCGCCATTGACGGAACAGACACTCTTCTCCAATTGAATGAACTACTTGTTAGAATCAATTTAAAATCTCTGCCCCCTATTTCTATGAGACACCATTGGTTTTTAGCCAAACCTTAGGCAGAGGTTCTATCGGAGACTAACTGATTCGAGTTTAGAAACAGGTCCGGAAATTAGGTTGCACAAAAAAAGTAGTGTTTCATTTCCATACACGTGTCTAGATTCAGGATTTGGGAATTGTCAGTCTGAGATTTATTACTGAGGATCCTATGATCCAACAGCATGAAGCGGTTCTTACAGACCGCCGCAAAGACCAGCCAAATATTCCTTTCTCAAAAACTTATGAAACCCATTATATATATATATTATGTTAGGGGGCGCTCACCGATCGTTCATACGGAACTCACTCGTTCCGTTGTGCCTTAAGGGCTCTCTCTCGAGCCCAACCAGCAGCCGCACAGCGGCGCATGAGATATAGGCAGAATAGTATTACCGACAAAGACAAGGGAGACTGGAATGGCCATTTCTGGCTTATTAGCCGTCGTCAGCCAGCCACACCCAAGCCTGAAGTGTGAAACACATGAGCCTCGAACTCGCGACCTCTTGGTTTTAGAAGTCAACGCCTCTACTCACCGGGCCACGAGCCCGTTGCCTTGTCGGTTTTCGATCGGGAATATACAATGTTAGGGGGTGCTCACCGATCGTTCATACGGAACTCACTCGGGCTTGGGTATGGCTGGCTGACGACGGCTAATAAGCCAGAAATGGCCATTCCAGTCTCCCTTGTCTTTGTCGGTAATGCTATTCGGCTTTTAGTAGTACTACTTGTTTGTAGAATGGGCATTACGTGGTTGTTCCACAGTAGTTGATTGTCTTCGACTCAAATGTTCATTGAAATTTCGGTTCTGACTATAAAAAGTCATGTCCCGGAGATTTAACTCCAAGTTCTGCACTGATTAATTTCTGAAATTATTCACCTGATTATTCTCTGGAGTTCATATACCGGAAACCGCTAGAGAACGCTGGGGGTCCCACTGAAGAGCCGAACCCCTCGCAGCTGTGTCACGCAGCGGCAGAATATCGGCGAAGCACGTGTCTGGGCTTTTAGCAAGTAGCTAGGTCGGGAGTACGGTATAATACCTTTACCATATATATATATATATATATATATATTTAACGGACAACGGTATGGGGAAGGACCCCACTTGACAGACAGTAGACTGCTGATCACGTCAAAGGGGCTTTTATCTTGGCATCCATTCGCAGGCCCTTACAGACATTACATTGCCAACAACAATCACTTCTCATGACTTCAAACCATCACTCAAACTCCTTTATTTTTTGAAATTTACTTTTCGTTTGTTATTAGTTACCGTCCGTTGTCGTACGAAAGCGTGCGATGGGTCTTTCTGTGTTTTCCGGAATTTCGTCGTTTTGTTGTCTAGTGCGCTGCCCCATCCGTAAAACTCCCCTTACCGCCAATCGCGTATGACGTGATCCGCAGTCTGCCGTCAGTTAAGTGGGGTCCTTCTCCATACCGTTGCCAGTTAACGTTGTACAAAACATCTGCCCGGTCCCGACTTAAAGGTAGTCCATCGTCTTGATTCAAAGAGGACTCATATGACATTACGGTTCCAGAGGAGGTATAGCCGCAGCAAAGCCCATCAGTTAATTTCGAAGTTTTCTTTTAAGAAGCGCTCAAATGGGGTAAAATCTCGATGTTTCATCAAAATCTACGACCTGCGAAAGGACTCCATACGCATGTGGCGTCTGAAATATACAATTTTTTGAGGGAGTTGCGAAAAGTAGGTAGGAGCCATACAGCTGATTATAGTTCCCCCTCTTTGAGTCGTCATACTGTGTTGTTAGTCTGGGGGTCAATGTAGTTGATCACCTAAGAGACGCTCAAGCACTGTTAGACGGTAAAGTTTACCTGAAAACGGAGTCTAGTGGTGATTTTCTGACTATAGTAGTCGTCTGGGTCTGTGGACCAGCTGCACTGTGCGTGTGTACGTTTATGTTTGCGGCCCTAGATGGCGGCCAGGGTTATGATTGGGGCAACGGTAAAGTGAAGTATATTACTTAACTATCGGTAGACTGTTGGTCCTGTCATATGGAGTTTTATCTTGACCTCAATTTACAGGCTGTTGCGGACACTACACGGCCAGCAACAATTACCCCCCATGACCTCAAACCAAGCTCAAGTTCCGTTATTTCTTAAAATTTACTTTTTGCTCATCTTTGAATTAACTCGCCAATTTTCGTTGCCATACGAAATTGTACAGTAAGATTTTCGACATAAATCAAAACGATTTCTGCGTTTTTTGCATTTCGTCAGCTTACTGTCTAACGTGCTGCCCACTCATAAAACTCCCATTACCATTCCTGTATGCCGCCATCCACAGTCCGCTGACAATTAGGTGCGGTTCTTTGACATACCGGTGCCGTAATTGGCTGAGAGAATGCAGAATAAACCCTAAACAGAACTACGTTAGTCTTCTCAGCTCTCTAACGAAAAGCCCTATGCGATCACAACTAGGTTAAGTTCGGCTATGGTAGATAGCTACCTGTGCATAAATCCCACGACTCATACGGTGCCTGTTTTTGCTTCGAGAAGGCATTTGATCGGTGTGCGCCCATTACTGGTTAAAGAAATACCGGATCTACTGTGACAGAGAATGTCCCATCAACGGACACGGATGAAATTCGCTTCGATAAGGAGGTTTATGACCCATCTGATATGCCCCTTCTGTGAACCATGTGCTTGCTCATTCTCGTGTTTCTGGACTCGGGACCACTAGGACCAAAAGAGGTTGTGCCTAGAACCGGCTACTTGAACTGTACTGGATAAAACACATTTTGACCAATTAAGCTACTCTCCCAGTTATCCGGGGATACATGGATAAAGCTCTTCCTCAACGACTTGCTCCCTCTGGTCTTGTATCCGTCGGCTTCTAATATGCTCCAGTAGGGAAACTTTTCCAACCGGCGTCAAATCGTGCCCTAGCATCTTAGCTGTCTTCGAGGGAGCAATGCGAATGCGTCACTACGCTGACCGACGTGGTCACGACTCGCCATCTTAAGCGTCCACCTCTGGCTCTCCACTTTCAGTCGTCAAGTTCTCTCCCTCTGACGCTGTGTGACACGTTACCACGTTTCGCCGGTGTGCTCCCCTAACCCCCAGCACTGTCACGTCGGTTACAGGCGCGAGCAAACAACGTGAGTGAACTTCCTAGCAGCTGACCGTCTTCTTGTCCGTACAAAAATGTAGGATACCCTTTCAGCTTTGTCTCTATAAATTGTGACTTGGGACAATCAGTGGTTCAAATAAACGGAGTGTTGAATCTTATAAGCGTTATAAATGGGCAGTAATGCCTACGGTGCGTTCCTGTTCTCAATAATGTGAATGAAATAAATGACTGCTCCGTGTATCCGATGGCCTGATTAGTCGGAGTCTACTGTATGCTAATTGCTTCGATTGCATTACGATAAATAAAAGCCATCCGTACACAGGATCTGCAGCGCACTTACGGAAACTTCCTATCTAAGTATTTCGCAAGCTGCAAATTCTCTCATACCAGGCTGAACTACTAGGAATAATTCAGGGGAGGGCTGAGTAGGGCGTTTAGTTTGACGTCGATGAAAGGATGCATACCGGAGACAATTCTGACCGGCACGAGTGTTCAAATGATAGCCAGCACCACATTAACTCTGTTCCGGGCAGATCTTCCGCTTCCTCAAAATGGAGTTTGTTTGGTGTCATCTCACTTGAATACGAGACAGGAATCGTAGTTTCTACTGAGGAAAGCACGCCGGGAAACGAATACCGTCGAAAATTTGCGTGGAGTTACGTAGTCTGCGAGTAAAACTATATTATAAATGAATACTGAGTACTTCTATTCCAAGGCGACAAATCCGCAAACAATATTAAATTGCAGACCGGTCTATTGCATTAGAAATATTCGGCTTGAAAATTTACCCGAAACCTAGTTTCTAAGTTGTAAACTAAAAAATTCCTAGAAAGTCGACATATAATCTGAGTTCCATTATGGTCGTGCACAGATTGGTTGTGTCTATCACACGGCACAACCAATGAAACGTATTGCGAGCTGTATTTAAGGTTCGGATTCCAGTTTTTAGCGCCTACCGAGGAGAGCTCAAGTAGTCTTCAAATTAGGACCCTGCCGGATCAAACATGAGTCTCGCCTGCATTGCTGTTCTTATAAGTCTCCTTTTTAACAGGCATATCGCAGCTGTGCCCACTCCCACCGGACGAGCTGACGAGATGATTTTTTCGAGGAAGTCCCAGTACCTACCCTCCGGTGAAATGGACTATTTGGTAAGTCAATCTGCAAATCCGCCGCCTTCTTCTAAACTACAGAATGCCGTTTCAAGTTTAAATAATTAGGGCCCGAACGAGAAAATCCGCTTTTTAGGAACATTTAATGACAGTGTCTGTGAACTTACAAGGTTGCACTCGAACTGGTTAATTTGTCACACTCTAGATAATTAAAGTGTCTTGAAATACACAATACCTCAAATCGCGTTAGAAAAGGAACACACCGCTGACAATACGTACGGTCAATTTGTCCCTAAACAAATGGCGTGACCGGAACTGAATCGTCAGTTGTGAAAATATATTTCACAAATTGTGAACGGAACCTAATCTTCTGAATTGGAAATATTTACGGTTTAGCAATAAAATGTCGACTTTAAGCATAACACCTGCGCGTAGGTTATGTCCAGGAAAGAAGAGCCGTTTGGGATTGCCCAAAATCAGGGATCACTAGGAAGTTCCCTTGATTCGGTTAATGTCATTTTAAATTATTATGGCTGCACATCATCTGGTAATAATTTGTAGCGATGCCTTATCAAGCTGCCCCCTTCCTGTTCAGCAAAGGGGTTTGATCTTTCCTCGTCTGTATCAAAGCAGTTTAAGTCCTGTTCTTGCTGACGCGGCTACTTCGTAAAAACATCGACAGGCCATGCTGAAGAGAAGAAAACAGCAGTTCCAAATGAACTGGACTGGAAGAGGATAAAGCCTTAAACCAGCTTAAAGCTAGTCTGAAAGAATAATTTTTTTATTAACTCGCAAAAGCAGGGTGATAGTTCTTGAAACACATTTAAAATTTGAGGAATAAAATTCAAAGATGATATTAAACTTCAGAAAGTTAACGGGATTTGCCATGAATTATTTCAAAGACCAAAATAGCAGGTTGCGATATGAAACCGTCATAGATACAGTTATGGATAATGGTAGGGGGCGCTTGTGTATGATGGTAGGTTCGGCGCATAATTGCACCCTTAAGCCGACAAAATTCATGCCACAGGAGAGCTTAAAGACAGTTGCTACCAGCAAGACTAAAATTTTAGTGTTACTTTATGCATAAATGTGCGTCATTTACTCTGTTCACTTATCCTTTAGTTGCCTGAGGCTCAGCGGTACCTGCGGGAGCTTCAAATAGCCAGAAAAATCAAGGAGAGCGGAGAACGCGAGAAACGATTCTTCTGTAATCCAATGGGATGTATTTAAAGAATGAATGAGGAAAAGGATCAGCTACATCTATCAACAACCGAACCTACCAACACTGAGAAAAAATTTTGTTCGCAGTTGTAGCTGTCATAGCGGAGCTAAAATACATCCTTCTACTCATTTCCTTTTCATTTCAGTCTCATTGTACGTTGTCATCGCGAAAAGAAAAAAGGCGCAAGTTGGAAAAGATGGGGTGTTTTAGAGCAAATGAGGAGATAAATCAAACAGTGAACTGGATGCAATTATTGGGAAAGAATAGTTAAAATCCATTCTTTCTATTACATTTAGTGACTCGGTTTTGGAATTCTAGACAGAATACAAAAAGGCTCACTGTGTCAGGTTCCCAAGTCTAAATTATGGATGGGTAAAATTTTATAAAGAAGCACGTTACCCATCTATCAAAAAAAGAGTTACGAGAAGTAAAACAGAAACTATATTAAGCAATTTTTTATTGTAGACCGTTGGGTCAGCTAACATTGTCTCGGATATATGTTCCCTCGTATTCAGGACATAAACTTTGTAATCATTTTGCTCATTAATCGATTGATATAATTTATTCTTATGTGAAAGAATTCACAACTTACGAAATCCTCAGACAAATGTCTCTGCGAGTGCGTGACAGATCCCATGTATGGTTGACTTTTACTGTAATGTAGTACCCTCAAAACTATTAGCACACAAATGGCCTCCGATTAATCAAATCACTGGTTATTTGGTTAGGCTGCTCAGACAATTTAAAAAGCTGAAGAGCAGGCATAGGTCGTACGTATTACCGTGCATTTAATGGGCTTACTAGGAACACCACTCTGTTTAATTAAAGCGGCACCCATTTCATAAAACAGTTTCGCTTGCAAGCGATTAAAAACTAAGTACCTTTTGAGCAGCATTCCTCTTGTCACATGTCTTTCTAATGGCCACATTACATGTCAGCCAGGCATTGAATGGAAACGACATTAAGCAGACTCTATTTCAGACGTGCGTTCCGGTTAATACTGTCTGCGAGATATTTTCTCTCAGAAACAGCACGCTAAACGTCTCAGGTCGCTCTACCCTGAATCAGTCTTCGAAATTTATTCTGACGCGAGGGCGTCAATAGCTTTTGAAAGCCTTAGACACATAAGACACTAAGCTCGTGGCAGAGTCTATGTGTGGCTGGCTTTGAGGCCTATTGTCGTGCAGAGGACCCCGATTTATTACGTCACCGGCTTCATGAATTAGCCACTTGTCTAATCAAGATTTCGGCGAACAAGAACGAAGCCTACGTACTACTGCACACTTATTCCACTAACATTGACCAGTTAATGTCTAATCCGAATTTAGAGTGCCAAGGTTGAGGGGATGGCCTGCATTTTTGGACAGACAAGAAGACGGTCGGCTGTTAGGGAGTTCGGTCAAGTTGTTGCATGGGTTCTTCGCAGACGCCACAGTGCACGGCAACAAGCGAGCTCGCCAGCGCGATGCTAGTGATGGTGGTGGTGGTGGTGGCGGCGGTGGTGGTGGTAACGTGTGACACAATGTGAGAGGGAGAGGGCTTGACGACTGAGAGTTAAAAGCAAGAGGTGGACAAGGGCAGCAGAATTGGCGTCCATCGGTAATCGTCTACCGATTGATTTACCCGAGCCCGCGTCGGTCGTCGTGGTAAAGAATTGACAACCAAATAGCAAAAAAATGCTTGACTTTGGCTAGCAACGTTTTCCTGCTGGAGCAAGTGGGAAATCAACATGAAGACGGATACAAGACAAGATGCAAGTCATTGAGGAAGTTCTTAATCGAAAAAGTCAAACGCGATGTGCAGTGCCTCCTGCCATTCGAAACTGCGTTAAATTATGAATGTCCCAACAGTGACAGGTAGATTGTGGCCCAGGGTCATTCTGTACAGCCAACTCATCTGACAGGTAAGCAGCCCGTGAATCTGAGGTCCTCTCATGGTTTAGTTCGTCAGTTTGCGTTTTTTCTCTTTAATAAAATATTGCTCAAATTGCCTTTGGAGATTATGCGAACTTAGAGGCTCAGTGAACACCCTACTGGAAACTAGTGCATCGGATCTTCTATTTGATTACCGGTTTTTAACGAGATGTGCCCCCAAATTTGAGCTGTTACGGAGGCTACTCTGTTTCATATTGCCTGTAAGGAAAAAACACTAGAGCACGGAAAATCGGGTCCTTTTGCCGCAAGTAACACTGCTGAACGGTGAACAAGAACATGGTCTCGAGGAACAGAGGCTTTCTTGGCTAGCTGGGGCTTCATTCAGTTAGATTCTTACTACTCCCACTCGGTTGAAATCTGAGCCATCTCTTTGTTGTTTTGGTGAAATCCTGGTAAATCTTACGCTGACCAGGCGCGTAGCACGCGCCGACGGACTGCTCAGTCTTGCCAGACAATGTGCCAGACCCTACCTCCGATCTTCTCCAGTCTGTCTTGACAATGGGCTCAGGGTGGTGATGGGGTGAGTGACCCAGGTCCAGCGCAAGTCTATAGCCACTATAAACTAACTCACATGCAAGTCGCCGGCTCAGTGCCTACCCTGCTGTAAGGCGTACGGTGAACATCCTCGGTAATGACGGTTAAACCACCCATCAATGCAGCTTCGGGGAGTAGCTTAATCGGCCTAAACGGGTTTGACTGAACACGGACTAAGCAGCAGGTTTTAGGCCCCAACATTTTAGGTTAGTATACACCAACCTACTTTGTCGACTCAACTGTATCCTTGCTATATTTTGAAAGTTACGACTACGGGTGACTAGAAGTACTTGAGAAGTGGAATAGGCTAATCGGTATTCGTTAGCAGTAATGCTGTCATGGCGTCTTCTGTTTATCGTGGGCTCGAGAGACCACAGACTAAGTAACCGAATTATTGTGTAGTTGTACATTGGAGAAAACTGATTTGTCTTTACAATATGCCAGCAGTTTCACAAATTACCGATTTGTTGCGCTATGTCTAGTCTACTATCCTTACCTGCCGTCTATCTTTATAAAAAAATAGAAACTACATGAAGCAGTTTTTTCGCCTGGCGGTTTCCTACAGATTCTAAAACCTGATCGGGCGCTTGGTATGCTGTCACGAAATGACTTTAATGGTGACACATTATGTCACTGGATAACATAAAGTTACTGACAAATGGCTCTTTGGCAGAGGCGACTTTCAGTGGTCAAGTCTCGCGGAGTTCATAACAGGTTATTTAGAAATACGCTTTGGTGTCTTCATTGTGACAGTGATTAATAAGGTGATATCTAAATGACGGGAACTTATCGTTTTCCGTATTTAATATGACTGTTATACAGTCGACTCCGATGATACCTACCGTGGGCTCCACATCTGATTGGACGCAGGGTCGAGGATTTACGGGTGGAATAGTCTATAATGATTGTAGACTTGCACACGATCTACCGCACTCTACCCCACACCCTCCTCAGCCTGGTGTCAAGATGGAGCAAAGAAGACGGGAGGTGGAGTTGGGTGGAGATGACTGGCGTCTGCACCTAGGGATAGCGGCATATTTCCCAATGCCTGGCGTTTGCTATGGGGCATACATCACCAATAACGCTCACCATGCCCTGATATGACCTTCACGGCCCATCGCATTTACCGAGTGACCCCTTGTAAGGGCAGGCCTCCTTTCACTCGTTAAAAAATAACCCACTTGCGCTGTAATAAAAGACGCAGCAGAATTATTTTAATGCGCTGAGCAGGCAAGAGAGATTATCACGAATGGAAGAGAAGATGCGCATCCCAGGTTCTTGTTTGAAAGAAGAGGAAGGCACGATCAATGGGATGGTAGATTTATTGGTCTTAGCCTTCGAACTCGAACTGTTCAAATTAGGAAGCTAAAAGCAATAAATCTACCATCCCAGTGTTCGCGCCTTCGTCTTCTTTTAAAGAGGGATCATGAACATACTTTTTTTCGCGTTTCTGAAGAAAGTTCAAGTTTACTTCCCTGAATTCACATAACATAGTTTTGTGGAAACACCGATCACATGGGCACTTCCAGTTTGCAAAACCGTTAAATTAGACATTTGCGTATAAGAGGGAAGATGTTACATACAGACTTTTTAAATATTAATGTTTTATCACTTCTACACACGTTCGAATGTGGAAAGGCAGCCATGTACTTTACCCGGAAAGCATTTTCCTGACAAAACTCCATAATCTGACGGACACCGTGCAAAATGAAATCAAGCCTACTAGAGGTGGCCGTGGACGAGGTGATCGGAAAAGTCAAGTAGGCCGTTAATACGCGCTAGATAAAACCTAGTCCCCCCAATTGCGTAAAAGGTGCAGGCCTCTGGCTCCACTTGAACAAAACTGCCACAAAAAGTCACATTTGTTACACGCGTTCCAAAGGAGGGCAGAAATATACTACCAGCCGGAAACCTCCAAAGTCAGGACTGCCTGTAGTCATGAAAGGCAGAAAGCGCGTTGGAGTTTTTATGGTCAGAAGTTTAAATGCTGGATTGGTCTCATTCTCACCCGTCCCCCTGGATCCTCTAGATACATCTAACTGTGGGTGAAATCTGGCACAAAACCTGGCGGGAATGAAAGTCGTCGTATAACGATTGCGCTGTAGTCTCAGCTTTCAGAAATGCCATGACAGCCACACTAGTGAGGAACAACCACAGTCTGACTCTCATTCTGATGGACGGTCGAGTTATCCTGTTGGCCGGCGACCACCTAAGTTAAGACCGCTAATGTGTCTTGATAACGCAGGAGTGCGTTAGGTTTTTTGTAGTGAGAACTGTGTTATATCACTCTGAGGATGGATTCTACAATACTGACCTTCTACCCTCTTTCCTTTCCTATGCATCATCAATCCCGATGATCCTGTCGACTCACTGGGAATGAAATTAGGTGCAGAAGACATCAGCCGCCGTCTAACGTGCTCCACATGCACGTACGGCAGTGGTTGATAATTCGCGCAGACTCGTAGTGTCCCGATTGACACATGCGTTAGCTAGTATGGTTCTCGTTTCGGTGGACGAAACAGCGACCATAGCGTAGTCGACTCCACGGCCTGTAAAAAGGACCCTTTATGCCTACTATACGAATACCACAGTTATTTATTCGATCTGCTGTTTCCTCTATAAAGTTGAATATATCAGATATGAGACTTTCGTCTCCAATTTTGCAAAACTCCTAGTTCTTGAGGCTCTCAAAGTCTATCACCAAATTTTTCCACCGTCCAAATATCTTCTAAGGATGTGGAAGTAATGGTGGTTGTTTTGTGAAATTCGCCTAAATGTCCTTTTGCAGTTAAATGCCAATTCACAGATACTGATGCCTGTGTTCTGAGGGTAAGTAAGTAGAGAGCTTGCGCCAGCTTAATCAGAGATGGTAGAACTGATACGCGAATCGTGGTCAACTTGGCCTACTTATAGAATTTTTATATGATTGAGGGTAGGGATAGGGCTTTTGACCGAAGGCTCGACGCCCTCCAAATCACTCAGGACATGAAAGTACTACAGGGTGGTGTTCACCGTTCTGGTGAGGTACTATCTGCGTTTCGTGTGGCTCAGTAGTGCAGTATTCAGCTTCGTCGACGATATTTTCCACTAAGGTAACATTTGTGATGGGGTTTACGGCTCCGACTTCGAAATGAGTAGGCGGTGGCCAATTCGGAATCTGGCACCACGCACTGCCCTACATGACAGCTGGGCGCCAACAAATGACAATGTTAGGGGGACGCTCACTGATCGTTTTAACGGAGCTCACTCGTCCCGTTGTGCCTTACGGCGCGTTGTGTAGGCAGAACAGCATTACTGACAAAGACAAGGGGACTGGAGTAGTCATTTATGGCTTATTAGCCGTCGTTGGACAGTCATAGGCAACCCCGAAGTGTGGAACATCCGGCGCTCGATCTCGCGACCTGCTGGTTAGAAGTTCAACGCCTCTAACCACTGAGCCACGGGTTCGTTGTCCTGTCGACTGCGATCGGGAGTACACAATGGTGGAGGGGGGTGCTCACCGATAGTTTTAACAGAACTCAGTCGTCCCGTTGGGGTGTGCACCGTGTGCCGATGGGCACTCAGACGTCTGCCAATCTGGTCTTTTGTTCCCAACCTGTGCCCCCAGTACCTCCAAAGCGTTTGGTTGCTGTAGTTTATTTTGCATTTGACTCTAGCCCGATCTGGGTTGCGCAAAAGGCCGCCCGGGTGACTGTGGTTCCTTCTACGTGCTGCGAACATCTTATTTGACAGACTCCGTCGCGGATGAACTGCATGCGCTCTCCAAGTTATGCGACGCCGTTCGGCGGTGGAATCGAGAACAGAGAAGACCGGCTGGGTTCGCATTATCTCTGGCACAACCTAGACACATTTGACCAGCATTCTGTATGAGCGAACGGACGTCAAAATCGAATGCGGGGGCTACGTGAGACCAATCGACCGAGCCACCACGCACAACTGTTATCGGGCAAGTTACGACCCGCACACTCTAGGCGGTTGGTGCCGGTTTCTAACAAAAAACATTACTGAAGTCAGTAAAGAAGAAGCATACAGACGATACTTTTCCCCAGA